TGTTATTGCCTTGCGTGGATCGCTACCTGCGGCGGTCAGCTACGGCTCGCGAAGTTAGCTGCGTCACGAGCCAAAAAAAAAAAATAAAATAAAAAAAAAAATGTACATTAACTCTGAACTCACCCATAAGCAACCACACTTACACGAGCGGTTGCTCGCACGCTTAAACACTCTCAAGGTAAGACTTTATTGGGAACGTAAGATTAAAAAAACAATAGTGTGGTGAAAAAGTGTTGGCAAAGTACTTCTAGAACGTGTGAAAAATGAGAAGTGGTAAGTTCTGTCATTAAAATATTCTACTAAAGGGCAGGGGGGGAAAAAAAAAGTCATCCTTTAGTCTTACCGGTGTATTGCAAGAGGCCTGAATCTCCACACTGCAATGATTCCCTCTATAAATCTTATTCATTTAAACCGAATGTACACACACCATTTGTCTGTGTCTTAAAAATAAAGAAAAAAGGAAAAAAAAAAACCATTTTTTTTTTCCCCAGCTCCAGCTGGAGACAAACATTGATTTGCAGAACATTTCAGGTGTTCCCAAACATGTTTTCGTACTTTTCCATTTGCAGGGAGAAGTAACTTCGAGTTATTTAGGGACAAATTCTGCACACACACGCCCCCTCCCATTAGCTTCGATCAGCTGAGTAAGCCCACTGGAGCGAGGAGGATTTACTCCAGTGAGTGACTGCAGAATCAGGCCCTCACGTAGGGAGATAAATAGATATTTAGACATTAAAAAAGAACCCCTACTAATTATCCCCCTAATCAAAGCAGGTTTCTAAGGGTTCTTGTGACCAGCTATGTCTAAAATACATATTCTTCACATAAAAATCCTTATGAAAAGCAGTTGCTTGAGAAGCTTAATAGCTACATTTTAAAGTTTCACCTCCTCAACTGCTTTACATTAAAAAATATATACAATTTCATGGACTACTGACTTGCCAAATATTCTTTCACAAACCCGATCTGTTTTTTAATTAGAATAGCAAAAAAAGACCTTAAACCAGCAATCATGTTTTGCTCCCAATTCGGAAAACAAATTTCTGTCTAGAATCGTACCCAACGTATGCGCCCCAACTTCTTTCCCCCAGCCCCAACACTTCTGCGAGCAGAGGGTTATCCTAAATCGCATCCCGTGTCGCTCTCATTTACTGTTACAACGCACCAGCACCAGCGAGCACCGAGGCGCTCCGCGAGCAGAAGCGAGGGCGCCGATGTATGGAGGATGCTCCAACACAGGAGCTTCTTTTTCAAGCCTCTCCTTAAAGGCGAGGGCGCGTTTTAAAATACGGATAAAATACGCAAGGGATGCTCCGCTCCCCGGCTACAGCGCTCTCGGCCAGTAAACATTTGCCATAGGAGATGAGGAAAGCGAAAAATCAGTGTATTTCTACATAGGCAAAACCTTTGCAAGTCCATAAAAGTGTCAGGAGAATTTGCTTAAAACAGCTTATAAAAATGGGAGAGAGAATGAGTCCCAGCCTATTATTCAATAACCATGTTTGTGAGGCATCTGCATAATCTAACCATGCATAAATTAGTATGTGTATTACAACAGTTATTTGCATAATAATAGCAAGTTAATAGATGCTTAAAGAGCACAGACCAACACCACCTTTAAATCAGACATGCCTCCAGGCACTCTGATCTGTATAGACCAAGATGCAGAAAGCAGTGTTCATAAAACACATGCAAACATAAAACCCACATTCAAATAATTCATTTTAGTCCCCGGACACTTCACTTTTTTTCCCCTCTCCCAGGAAAGAATAATCTGAGGAACTACAGAATAGTTTGTTACTATGAATTCTAACATCCATCTTGCGGTACGAATTCAAAGGAATCATCGAAGCCTATTTCTGGACCGGTTGTTTTGTTCAGAGCTTCAGGTTTGCCCAAGCATACAGACAAAGTAAAATATTACCTGGTAACGCAGGGCTCACCACTGGCCTAACCATTGCTGCTGAAGACGGAATTAAGTTTTACCACCAACTTCAATGAAATGGAGGTAGGTCAGTGGAAAGTTAGAAAAATCTAAATGAAATACTAATATTAGGTCCCCTTTAAAAGGGAGAATCCAGGGCTACTTATTCCATTCACATTATGGTTTTGATCTGAGAAGATTTTAGACCACTGAACCATTATTCAAAATTGGAATTAAAAATTAAAGCGTAGAAAAGGAGCAGCTACACCTTCCTGCTTCAAAAGCACCCTTGTACGTACTGGATTATTTTTTAATCTCACAACACAACAATCATTAACATCATCATCATCATTTTCATTGTCTTCGGGGAAAGAAAATCTAGAGTTTGGAGAAGAAAAAAAAGAGGAAGAAAAAAAAATCAATAGAGACTTCTAAATGACTCCTTCAAGATACCACTTTTCAATTTAACAGGACAGATTTATTTGTATGTGGCTCAAATGTTCACAATTGCTCTCTGCACCTTCATACATAGGAATGAATGTCACAGTGGCAAACAGCAGTAATGAACAATCTTACCTGAGGATATGGAAACCTCCCAAGAGCAAGCTGGGAAAGGAAATAATATTTGTCTAGTTATATAGATTTGCATGGAGGGCACATTTTCTTAAAGAGAGAAAAGTACTCAACTCTTACTATTGTATAAATTGGAAAATGTCAGCAAAAGTAATTCGGAAAACACACAAAGAGCTGTATTTAGAATGGAGTCATTCACAGCAATTACCCCCCCGTTCTGCCGTTCTCGTATTTCTGTATTTCTCAGGCTCTTTTGTCTGTACCACTCGCTAACACCGTTTGATGCCCAAGTTCCTGAGGACTCTCTAAATTAAACCAGTTCAGCCTCAATAGCGAGGCCAACGACACTGACCTTTACTGATAATTATCTGCAATGAACAGGTATTGTAGAGCGTGCACTCAACTCCCAAAGTCCTTCCTTAACTGGCTCAGAGTAAAAACTGGGTTATGTAGCTGAGGTTTGCTTCAGTATCGGTGTCAAGCCCAGCTAGGAGCCCGTGAGCGGGGTCTGGAGGGAGATCATGGCACCCACAACAAGACACTCCGGCTTTTCTTCAGATCTACTTTTGGTTGTACACGATAGCAACTGGATTTGCTGCCCACACTTTCAGAAGTCGACTGATGCACAGCTAGGGTTTCCCCTCGTACCAATATTAGACCCAACAACAATACTGCTGCTGCCATAACGCCATAGCTAATAAATATTCCATGATCAATTCTTTGTGCAAGACTCTAGGTTTTCCCATTTGCTAGCTGAACCTTGGAAACAACTTCAGCAAAACACAACTAGTTTAAGTTATTTTGTCTGCTATTCAGGAAAGGACAAGGGTTGGCAGAGTTGACACAGCCTCCTCCAACACGGCATTCAGAGCAGCTCTGTTCTGACCTGCTGCCTGATCAAGCCCACCGCTCTCCACGCTTTACAGAGGAGCCACAGACAGATGAGCTTCTCTACGCCCCGTTCAACCTTCATGAATCCTTCCCCTGCCAACCTTCAGACGAAGGTCTACCAAAAAGCTTACAGATGTACTACCACCATTGATCTGTCTGCATGAAAAGCTAGGTATATTCGCCTCAGACTAAGTAAAGGCATCAAAGCTCAAGGTCTAAGCCATCATGTCACATACTGTAAACCATGTCGGTGCCAGGCAAAAGCTGTTTCATGGCACCTGTATTGCCACTGGTATTTGAGCTCCTCAGTGCCGTGCTTACTTGACCAAGCCAGGCTGCAGCTGAGGCAGCTGTGCTAACCTACGATGAAATTTCAGCCTGGCTGGCAGCGCAAAACTATCCTAAGTACAAACAATAAGGCATAGACAGAGCTGTGGCAAGGTGGGGAACTGATGGGGCAAAGACCAGGAGACATACTCAAGCCTCACCAGTTCAGGAAAAAGGTCATGAGAAGGTTGTTAAGAAGCAGCTGACAGCACGAGTGGAAGCAACCAGAAAACAGCAGAGATGGTGCCCTTCCCGCAGTTCCAGCTGCTATCCAAACCTAGCACCGTACTAGCCAGCTGCCTGTGAGCCTGAGCAAATGCAGTAACCTTCTTCCAGATCCTCGGAGGAAAGCAGAGTAGGTCTTGAAGGATTTGTGTGAAGAGAGGCACGCAAGAGAAACCCAAAAGAGCTGAAACGATTTTTTTGGTGACTACTCTTAAAAGAAGCTTTTGCAATATTGGGATAGTATTTGGCCTGAAAGCCTGCAAACGTATCAAGTGGGTTCTAAAGGGTTTGTACGATAGCTCTGAACGCTTCCTTACTGCACCCACACATCACAGTTACAGGAACCACATATCTAAACTTCCACACATCACTGAAAAAATCACCCCAAGCTTTCCAAAATATCTCATCAGTGGGAATTTGCAGAATGACTGAGGACGAGCCATCACCTCCTGCTCTATCAGTGTGGTGTTGGCCAAGGATCCCTACTAGCAATAACATACGCAGTTTTTCTGAGACGTTTCTATTGTACCGCTCATCTCTCTGAAAGCTATGATCTGCTCGTGGGCTTCCCTTTGCGTTTGCTTGGTTTGTAGGACCAACACCTACAGAATCTAGAAGAAATCAGGCTTACAAGAGACACTGGAATGAGGAACAATGTTAAGGTGACCAGATAGGTCACCAACCCAAGGTGGGGGTCAGCCTCTTCTCCCTGGTAACAGGCGATAGGATGAGGGGAAATGGTCTGAAGTTGCACCAGGACAGGTTTAGGTTGGACATCAGGAAAAATTCCTTCCCCAAAAGGGCTGTCAGGCACTGAAAGGGGCTGCCCAGGGAAGTGGTTGAGTCCCCATCCATGGAGGTATTTAAAAGACAGGTAGATGAGGTGCTTAGGGCCAGGGTTTAGTGGTGGGATGGCAGGGTTAGGGTAACGGTTGGACTTGGTGATCTTAAAGGGCTTTTCCCAAGCTAAACAATTCTGTGATTCTATGACCTCTTCAGGTTCTCCAAAGTGATACAATTTAAGCTAGCTTCTTCCTCTGGGCTTCTTCTGTGCTTTGTCTTCCAGGTTTGCCTTTAAGACTCAACTCTTTGGGATGAGTTCTGCCTTTCACTTTTCTTTCTGGTGCTGGTGCTGAGCACAGTGCTTCTCTCTGCAGCAAATTCATCCTCGTAACAAACCAACCTGAGCAAGGCAGGCTTTCTGGCACTTTTCAGCCACCCTTTCCGGCACTTTTCAGCCATCCTTTCCGGCACTTGTGTCCGGTGCACGGCTTCTCCCAGCTCAGTGCCACTCCAGTCACTTGCTGATGGTGGGCTTTGAAATACACTGCTAAGTAGTAAAGCAAAGACCCCGGGTTTTCTGTTATGCTCAGTCTTAAGGACTAGGAGCTACTAAAACACACCCTTTCTCATCTTCCCTTCTTTTGGGAGGAGCATCCTTAACTTCCCAGAAGCTGCTCGAGATCCTAAGAAGCACTGCTGCTGCGATAGCCTCTAGATGCCTAGAAATAAGCCTATAGATGCCAAACACTCTTCCATGAATAGAGGCAGAAAATATCCCGATTTTTCCAACGACTACTGAGTTAAGAGTAGTCAATACGATTGCTACAGACTTACAGGAAAGTAATGCTATCCCACTGTGGAACAAGAAGATAACTACAGCTAGATGCACAGGGCATCGTTCAAACCCGGCATTTCCATCCTCACTGACGATTCACAGAATCCCAGACTGGCAGGGGTTGGCGGGGACCTCGGGAGCTCACCCAGTGCCACCCCCCTGCCCAGGCAGGCTCACCCAGAGCAGGGGGCACAGGACAGCGGCCAGGCGGGGGTTGAATATCTCCAGAGAAGGAGACTCCACAGCCCCCCTGGGCAGCCTGGGCCAGGGCTCGGGCACCCTCCAAGTCAAGAAGTTCTTCCTCCCGTTCAACTGGAACCTCTTCTGCTTCAGTTTGTGCCCATTGCCCCTTGTCCTGGCACTGGGCACCACTGGGAAGAGTCTGGCTCTGTCCTTATGACATTCCTCTCCCTGACCACCACAGGCAGGGGCTCCAAAGGCAGCAGAATAATCGGGGAAAGAGCAGTTTTCTGCCAGACTTTAAGTACGGGGTGTATAAATGAGCTTTGACGAATCCGAAAGGCATCGGGAACAAGTTCTTTGGGGGTTGTTGAAAAAGAAACACATTTCTCAGCAAAGCTGCTCCTTGACGGAGGACTGCAGAGCAGCCGTGGACACACCACGTGCCGGTTCTGCATCCCCCCAAACCATCACTCGATTCATCGAGTCGGAGTTGTTTCCTCCCTGCAAGATTGTCAAGGTATTATAAATTAAGAAACTTAGCAAAGAGTATGTAATCTTCCCTGAAATAGCCTGCAGATATGTCACTGTACTAAATGTGTTTCAGATTTAATGAAGCTTTAATGTCCTTTTTAATTTTGCCTGTTTCTATATCACCAGGGGTCGAGCAAGGCAATCAGCACTCAAGAGGGTGGTTTGGTTTAAAACTAGGAAAAACTCATTTGCTTATGAGTTGCACTGTATTTTCTTAATTAAATTTACTAAGTAAAATGGTTTAAGTTCAGCCAACCAATGACCTCTGTATGTAGATTTGGATTTATAAATAGCGTCAGAGTTTAAAATAAAGAAAAAAAAAACCCAAAAACCAAACAGATTAGAGCTTCACTAAAGGGATTTTCATACTCTTGGTCATCTGCCCCAAGGATGCCATATAAACATACGCAGCACAAGCCCAACGCAGGACGCAAAAATAGGTAAACCACCGAACTAACACGCTCTCAAAACCTTCTCTCCTCTGCATTTACACGATGAAACTCCTGAACTTGCAATTTTGTTTTTAAGGCACTGTAACAAAAATACCATGTTTCCATTCACACCAGTCAGGTTTTGGGAACTGCTCAGTATTTTACGTAGCTCTGGATATTAAGGAGGGGAGAAGAGAACGCTTAAACGTCAAGGTTCTCGTTTCCCTGTGGTTGCCTGCCCGCCACGCGAGAACTGTGAAACACATCATTTTTAAAAGGCCCAGTGAATTGCAATGCCAGCACGGTAGGGCAATATAAATGCGAATCGGACCGCATCAGCCAGAAATATGTCAGAATAACACTTTCCTAAGCCGTTTCACTTCAGAGCAACTGCATGCCTGTGTAAGGGGTTGGGGGGGCTTTTTTTGGGGTGGGTTTTTTAAAAAAACTACTACTTAGATGTAGAAGTAGCCCATCAGAGCACTTAAAACGCTCATCTCATGGTGTTCAGTGAGATCGCGTCCCGAAAAACCATGCGCGCTTCCAAGTGCAAGCACCTGATAGGAGCCTTCCCCCAGGCTTGGCCAGGGGTGCAGATGGGTGTTTGGGGAGCACCATGAGATTTTAAACCAGGATTTGATAAACTGAGAAATTATCCCGGATTATTCAATAACGAGCAGAGGTACAGGGTGCACGTACGCTGACTTTTATCAAACTATATCCAAAAACACGTAAGGGAAAGCAAAAAGGACTCGAGGCAGCCAGTTTCGGTAGAGACGGGTGCTTAAACCCCCTGTCCTGAGCACCTATAAGAAGGGCTGGAGAGC